ACCAACCGAAAACGATAGATCCCAAATAAACGCGACTTACTTTACGCGTACAAAATCCCGTATTCAAAGATAATAAAGCCCCAGTCCTTTTTATTCTGCATTGGCACGATGAGGCACAAGTCGCCTTTTTTTGTTTACATAACATTTTTTTTTTCAGGCGTATCATTCCATTGCGAAGTGTGTGGCTGCGTTAGCCATGTCGTGTCCAGCAGATCGACAATCTGTCGTGAATCAGTTTGTTAAAGATATCCAGGTACTATTAATGTATTTTGCGAATTTATTTTTCTATGTATTTTTTGAAGTACATGTAATGGTATCACAGTGCTTTTCATCTTTCTTAATGAGAATCTTGTACGTTCTGTTATCTAAGTCCAGACAACAATAACTGAGTTTAAAAATAATGAAATTATCTGACGAGCAAGCCCTCCATTTGGGGAATGTTTCTTTTTGTATGTTCTTGAATTTCTTTCGTAAGCGGTCAGATTTGAATTCAATTTTTCTCTAATCCTTGGTTATCTTAATCCTACTTGAACAAATAGATCTGAAGATTTAATTTTCTGGTGTTGTATTCTCCATTCTTTGCCACGTATTTTGTACTAGAATAAGAGAGCACTTGGTCGTGGTTCCAAGGATATACAATGTAACGCTGTATATTTGATCTCCCTTGGTCCGCAACATCTACTTAATAAAACACAAGAGAGGTTACTAGACTTGCTACAAGTTGACCTCTCACAAGTTCTTAAACGTGAACGAAGCGAGCTTTAATGCATGAGGTCCCCGCAGCGACCGACCGAGCGATGAAGTCCCGAGGCCGACTTGTATTATAAATTCCCGCGGGAAAAAATGATTGACATATGCTATGTCGGGCTCAGCGTGAAATATCACTCACTGTCCTATTGGTCAACTGTCATGACGTCACCGGTAGAATTTTCGACCGGTGAATTTCGCGCCAAGCATGTATGAAACGTCCTTTAAAATGGCATAACCAAAGAAAAAAAGAAAAGGACTTTTAGAAAGTCTAAGAGGTGACGAACCAAAGAGAAAGTGTTGTCCTATGAATCTGTAAAGTTTCCTCGCGCCACACACAAATTCTATCCGCCATAGACTGACACTGACCGTTGTTTCAATTATTTTGATTTGTAGAGTGCAAAAGTTTCTGATCCTGTGAGGCTGTTTTCGCTTCTTTCTCTGGGCGAAATAGGAAGACACATGTATGTATCTATACTTCGATTGGCTCCCCCCACCCCACCACCACCACCACCACCACCACTCTAAGACGAGGACAACTACGAGAAAGAGATTTTTGCAATACGAAGTAATGCGCGCGTGCAAACCAGCGCCACTTTGGCGGGAAAATGTCCTCCTCGCTTAGTCGTCCTCTTCTTCGAATCTAAAGCTCTCTATTTACACAAGTTATATACAAATAGAAGAAGAAAACAATAGGCAACGAATAAAAGTAATCATTAGGCTGAGAAGAGATAATGTACATTTGTGCGCAGTGTCCAAAGTAGCAAGAGCTTTTCAGTTGGACACTGCCACATTCAGAAAAATTGCAGCAGAAAAGAAGGGAGAGAAAAAAAAAAACAAATTATATCAGTGATGGAGCATGTAAAGTAGAAGTAAAATTAAATTTGATTAAAAGATAGTCGCAGTAAAAAGGGAAAGGAGGAAAAGCATTATCAAGTTAACTAGAACCAGCAAGCAAGGATCTGGAAAGCGAAGAGCAAGCAAACAAATAAACAAAAGCAATGACTGATGCATAAGTTTGTTGGTCAACATTTGAGTATTGAAAACTGGGATTTAAACTCGACTCTGTGTCTTGCAGCGACCTAAGTAGTCATAAGGACCTGGCTGTCGCCATTCTGGAGTGTTTCTCATCTCCGTCTGAAGAAATCAAATCAGCGGCGTCCTTTGCATTAGGTTGGTTTAGTATTTCGCCGTTTTTTTAGCCCAACATTTGGCAGTGCAGACTTTGAGACTTGACAATATCCCTGGGACATATCTTTGCAGCATACCTGTGCGACATATACCTGCTTCTTGTCCCTGGCACATTTCCCCGCATATTCCTGGGATATATCCTTGAATTATACCCCTGGGACAACCATATCCCTGCCAAATGGGACCCCACACAAGGAGACTTGACCATATATCCCTGGGACATGTCTTTCCCACATATTTGTGCGATATATACCTGCTTCTTATCGCAGGCACATTTCCCTGCATATCCCTGGGACATATTCTTGCATTATACCCTTGGGAAAATCATATCGCTGCTAAATGGGATCCCATACAATGACACTAAACCATATCCCTGGGAGATATCTTTGCTCCGCATCTGTGAGACATATACCTGCTTCTCATCCCTGGCACATTTTCCCGCATATCCCTGGGACACATTATACCCCAGGGACAATCATATCCCAGCCAAATGGGAACACCAGCGTTTCCCACCTTTTAAAGTTTAAAAAAAATGTTAGCAACGCCAGTGGATTGCGCATCACAAGGTTTGAATTTTATTGGTAGGCCTGTGATGTGTTACCTTAACAGAAGTTTTTTTTTTCCTTACAGGCAAAATTGCTGCCGGTAATTTGAACTTGTATTTACCGTTCTTGCTCAAAGAAATTCAGGCAAATCCCAAAAGACAATATCTACTCCTTCATTCCCTCAAGGAGGTTTGTACTTCTTAATTTTTTCATTGTTCAGGGTGGTAGCCATTGTGCATATTTATAAAAGGGTTAACTTTGCTGTTGGCCAGAACCTCTTTAGAACCTCTAATCTGATAGGTTCTTGTTGGCCCGAAGCTCTATTGTCTCAAAGTTGGGGTTCAATGTTAGTTTTGTTTTCGTTAGGGCTATCTATTGTTTTCTAAACCAATCCTGTGAGCTCTTCTTTAGAGCTTCCGGCCCACCCTAACTTTGGCCTTTTGGTCAAAATTTGAAATTCCTTCTATTTTGTGTATGGTCAAAATCGACCCGTAGATTATGTTTGGCGATGTTTTAGAATGCACGCAAACTCTCCAAACAGATAATAAAGATTTCATGGGTGGAGCCGAGTCTCTCTTCCAGCCGTTTTTTGGCAACGTTGCAAGGGAGACTAGATACTTTTAGATGTTTTCCAAGTAGCTCACCTTCGATTGGGTTCAATTATTTTTGGCTGTTCGAAGAGATGGTTGATTCAATTAAGAAGCGGACAAGTGAAAAATCAGCTTTGCACCGTGTCTCCCCACTGAGTGTGCTAGTACTACTGCAATAAGTAGTTGATCTTCTCTAAGGGTTGATTTCCAGTGTCGCGTAATTTTTACGTGCCACGTGCGTAAAATTGACGTTCACAAATGAATTAATATAGAGGCAATGTATGAAAGGTCACACGTAGGTGTAAAAGTAGAACCTCGCTCAACTTCACGTTTAATCTCAACACTTTATATCTTGCCTCTATTTTTTTACGTGATTAAAATTTACGTGCGTTAACGTGCGTGTACCCAAAAACGCGTTAGTGGAAATCAACCTTAATGGAGTCGTTTGTTCCTGCAGGTTATATCATGCGAGGCAGGCAGTTCAACCGGTGTGGAAGCCCTTAGGCCGTTTATTGGCTCCATATGGTGAGTTACAACCACAATGATCTTACCCAACAGGATGGTAAAGGAAAGAAGGCGGTAAACCTTGTGTGACAAGCGTGACGGTAATTTTGTTCAAACAAACCTTTCCGTCAAACTTCGCCTTTCTCTAAACAGGTGTGTTTGTCATAAGACCAGAAAACGTAACGTTAAGTGATGATCACGACAAAACACGCAAATAATAGCCCTGTCACGTTTGTCACACACGGGAGTTTTGCCGCCCGCTTCTTTCTGCCGTCCTGCTGTGTAAGCTCACTAATAACGATGGGGTTAGGGTCACGAAAGAAGAAATGAGAAGAAACAGGAGTGTCCTACAAGATGTGTTGTAAATAAGTTGCTATATAGTGAACTCCCTCTAAGATGGACATCTTTGTGACCGGCACTATGTGTCCTTCTTTAATGAGATGTCCATCCTACAGAGAGTCGACTAAAATGAGTAAAGAAAGCAAGTACCAACTCTAGCAGGACACGCACAGTCTTGAAAAGTCCTTGAATTCCATTTTTCCTTGAAAAGTCCTTAAATTTCTGTGCAAGTCCTTGAAAAGTCCTTGAATTTTCTTCAACTCTGATTGTAGTAGCCTGGAAAAAATTATTTGATGCTTTTTGGTTGTCCAAGACAGAATATAAATCAAAGTTCAGAGAATTTAAAGGTTATTTACGAATGTTCTTCAACCCTATCACTTAAAGTCTTATTAAAAAACAGTTCAACCGTTAAAGTCTTATTAAAATAGACTGCATTTTTTTTCTACAATCTGTGAAATTATATTCCTAGCAGGTGGTCCTTGAAAATCCAATGTGGTCCTTGAAAAGTCCTTGAAAAATGATTGTAGTTTTTTGTATGAACCCTGTCTAGGAGTCCGTTGACTGCCTACGTACCCCACCCCTAAGGCAACATTGTGCCCTAGGTGAGAAGTAAGTGTTAATGTTGGCCTAGGGGAGGGGTAGGTGGGCAGTTTCCCAGAAACGTGTAATGATCCGACTATACTTTGTGTTTGTCTAGGACGTTGTTGTTCAGCCACTGCGAGAGCACGGAAGAAGGAACGAGGAATGTTGTGTCTGAGTGTCTCGGTAAACTTACGCTGGTTGATCCAGTTCGACTTCTTCCACAATTAAAGGTACGGACGTGAACGAGTGACATTCGGTAAGTGTAGGTTGTGTGCGCTCGCAATCATAATGTCTGCGCGCTTTGTTTACTTTTTTAATTGACGTGCGCATTTAATTCGTTGACGCTTTACGTTTTCTTTGTCTTATTTTCCTACTAATTTACACCTTGTCAGTAAATGTGTTTGGATTGTGGGTGGCTCCTCCTAAAATGTTCTACAATTGGAACAGAAACCAATTGTGGGATTGCGCACACTTTAGGCATCCTACTGATGAACAGTTACGACTTACAGATATTTCGAGCAACAACAATTTGTCGCTGTAGAGAGGGTTAAACAAGAGTCAATATTTGAAGTGTGCACCGGGACAAAAAGAAGTGGCCCTTGTAGAGAGTTAGCCGTTAGTGGGGGTTCGACTCTACTATAGCTAGTAGAGGCATTCCCAGCTGACAGATTAAATCTTCGGCAGTGAATAAGGACTCTTTTGTGCTTACTTTCTATTTTCTTTCGCAGGATTATCTTAATTCAGACTCGGCGTTCGCAAGGAGCACAGTGGTGACAGCCGTTAAATTCACAATCTCCGACCATGTAAGGAAATCCATACCGTGACTACCAAACCGCCCCACCACCCCCTCCCACATTAAAAAATTTAACTTGTTAACCATTTTCTAGTGAGAAAATCTCGTACGCGTGGTCGTTATTCTCGTCCTCGAATCTAAAGGTCTCTAGTTAACAATAGGCTGATTTAGCAACAGAACGGGAACGTCATTTGACGACGGGAAAGCGCGCGAAAACGACTAAACTCTACTTCCGGTGTCCAATTCGTCGCTTTGCCATTGGTCAAGCCAGTTGTTTGATTTGCGCGCGCAGTCGTCAACAGACGTTCCCGTTTTGTTGCTAAATCAGCCTAATTATTCCACTGGTGCGCGTTGGCTATAATCATCTCATATCCAACAAACACGACTGTGATAACTGTTTTATTAAAAACGCACACAAAATAACGAAACTCTTCCCTGCTTTATCAGTCAAAACAACCGAGTTTCAGTTTGTGTTTAATTTTGAACAGTCGCGTACAGTTTAGGGGGCATTACGGTTGGTTTCTTGAGCAAATGATGTTGATTTGAGAATGAAATGAATTAGGGTAGAAAAGGTTTACACATAAACCAGTTAGCCCACTAATGGGATCAGAGGCACTTTGTTGTGGTGGTGGACTATCTGGTCATTGTCTACTAATTATTCATTTAATATTTTAATTAAAACATCTTCCCCCTAAATTTTCTACATTGAAAACATTCGAAAGATGATCCAAAAACACACAAATAATTATTGAATTAAGGACTGTAACTTACTGCGCTTTTCACAAACATGCGAATTCTGAAGTTCAAAAGCTAACTGACGATTGCGTTTTTCGCTGCCGTCAATCATCTTAACGGACCTCTTAGGAAACAAAACTTTACTTTGACGGGTTCAAAAGGTCAATTTTTGTGATTTGTGATTGGTGGATTTCGATCCGTTTTGTGTGTTTCTGTGTTTCAAGGTTCGTTGCTTGTGATCGTAATTATGATTGACGGCAGCGAAAAACGCAATTGTGAAGGCGGTTTTGAACTTTAGAGTTCGCATGTTTGTGAAAAGCATAGTAATTGAGTCATTTTTTGAAGGGTAAAAATCAACGAAAAATAATGCTTTGAACCATACTGCCCCCTTAACATATTTGGAGACCTAAGCCAATCAGAGCTCTAGAATTGTATTATCCAATCTATCTCTCTTATCTCTTTCAGCCTCAGCCAATAGACAGTCAGTTAAGAAGCTGCATTGGAGATTTCCTTAGAACTGTTCAGGACCCTGACTTGGTACGTCAGTTTATCATTTTGATCTCGTGTTCTTCCTCGTTAAAGCAGCTGTGTCAAGCTACACTGTGGGGACCTTGAGTTAGTGTCGTTATTAGCGAGAGTCCTTAATAGTGGGAGTTTATTTCAGTCAAACGTCTACAATTTTTTCCCCAGGATGTAGCTGCTTTCCTTATTATAAGGGTGTCGGTTATAGCGGGGTGTGCGTAAGGCGAGAGTTGACTTTACAATGTATTTACATGAACTGAACTCCAAAAATAAGGGTCCAGTTTTGTTATTCAAGACTATATTTTAGACATTGAAACTGTTTCCTGTCGTCTGTTGTAATAGATGGCAAAGGCAAAAGTTGGGCCAAAATAACGCTGGCTCACGCGTGCGCATTACTCTGTATTGAGGTGATACTGTTCATTTCTCTTACGGACGAGGGTTTAACTGACGTTAAGGTTAAAGCCACTAAAAATTGATCAGATTAAATCAAGTAAACCCTGCATGAGAACGTGTGTTAAAATTGATGTCCAGACGTAGAAAGTTGGGCGAGACCCATTCGAGTTTCTTCAATCGACTTAAAGTTGTCTGGATACCCGGTAAAACGGAGTTTCGAGTGTAGCTTCTCAAATGGTTCCACGAAAGAAGACCTCACAAGAATCGTGTTTTCTTTGGCCTGATGAAACCTTCGGATACACCGTTTTCGTGTAAGGGTGCGGGTAGATTCCCTGTACATGTAGCCGTAAATATGGGTAGTTTGCCTCTTGTCCCTGGGAAATGACTCGGCTACTGACCAGAACGGTTACGTCTGCTAAATTATGTGTCTCCGGGTCTGATTTTCCCAGACACCCGGAAGTCTGAGTTTTGAGGGTATAAGTTTTCAAAACACTCGGGATTTTCTAGGTGTGAGTTTTCACAACACCTGGAAATCATGAGTGCTCTTTATACAACTACAGAACAAAGATGCTCGCCGTCCCGAACCTGTAGCAGGAACCACAGACGTCCCAAACTCAATATTTGAACTTACGTTTGCTGTTTTTAGGTTTCCTGTGTCGTTTTGAAGCGTTTTGGGTTGGTTTTGTTATCCTGTTTTAACCTTGATAATCACAAGTTTCGACCTGTCGCTCACATATTGAGTTTGGGACGCCTGTGCAGAAACGGTATAACGTGATGTGTGTACCGCATGGCTGTCATCAGAAGGCGGGGGCCGGGAATTTCCCCCGGCTACTAAGAACGTTGCCCCGGCTACTTTCATGGGGAAATTGAAGAAAAATAGAACCAAAAGAAATTCGTAGCCGTTTGATTCCCCGCTTACTTGTTGTATTTACTCGGCAGCTTGAAATCTTAGTGACAGTCCTGGTACCATATAATTTTGAGAATTAGAACTGGCGTTTAATGTTTGTTCGTGTATTTTGTCTTTTTAGAACGTCCGTCGTGTAGCACTCGTCACGTTCAACTCTGCGGCCCATAACAAGCCTAGTCTCATAAGAGATTTGCTGGACCAAATCCTTCCTCAGTTGTACAATGAAACCAAGATTAGGGTAAGCGACAAACAACGACTAAAAGGAATATTTCTAACAATAAAGCCCAGTTTGCAAGTTTCTTTCTTTCTTTTCTTTTTTTTTTTATGCTCTCATTCAAAAATTATAAAAAAAAATCATCGACAGTTCATGTTCTTTTTTTTCGTCGCTCGCATTAAAATTAAAAGTCTTGAATAAATCGACATTACCGCAGGCTTTTTAAGAATTGCTTTGTTTATTAAGATTGCCAATTTAATAACGTTTGATTTGATATAGGGTTTAGGTATCTGCACTTTAAGTAGACCAAGAGAATTTGTTCTCTTGCGGTCGGAGAGTAAAGATGCGTTTTTGTGTGTGTGTCATTCCGACCCTAATATGGTAATTTATTCTATGTAACGTGGCTTCCTAGACTTCTTAACTCTCTAATTATTTTAGGAAGCCAACACCCCTTTTTGTTTTAATTTTTATTTGATGTAAATTTCATCTTTCTTGAGTGTTGTTATTGTTGTTGAAATGTCACGTCATTAGTGTGTGACACGTGAGACACCCCTGAAGGTATCCGAAGTAACTTGAACGACTTCTGGGTCATTGATGGAAATCATACGACGGCCATGCTAAGCCACCGCAGAATAAAAAGCTTTCTTGTTTTCACAAGTCTTAACCCGTTCTCAAGTTTTCACTGAAAGGCTAGACGCGCAGAATGCTTTCATGCGAAATGATGGTCGCATGATAAAAGTCCACGCAGTGCTGTACTCGAAGGAACCTTTGAGCAAACTTTGATTAATCATTAGAGAGATTAGTAGGGAGCTTAAGCAACAACGTTTTTGAGCGACGCACGTCAACCGGAAGTGGCCTTTTTTCATTTTTTGACGGTGGTTTCGCGCAAATTTTCAGTCAAATCGCCTCTATAACAGTAAAGAAGCTAAGGAATACAAATTTTATATCATCAAGGCATGTTAAGAGGGAAAATACCTCACTTCCGGTTGACGTGCGTCGCTCAAAAACGTCGCTGCTTAAGCTCCCTATTAGGGCGTCACGTTTACGGCGAACGACAAACGTGAATTTGTACCACGTGACAAAGTTTTCCCTTTACTTGTCGTTTACTGTTCATTATAAATGCACGAAAATCGAGAAATTCACGCCCGTTCTATCCATAAGAATTATTTGAAGCTGTTTTTATCTGCTCATTTCTCACTTTGAAAATTTCTCAACTTGAATCTCACGTCTGCCGTTTGCCTTAAATGCGATGCTTAGTCTCTCTATTGTATTAAGTGGATACTAAAGGTCCTTCGATTTTTGCTAGCCTCTTTTTAGGTTTAACACTTTAAGTCCCAATATACACAAACAAATTCTCCAAACTGGTCTCCATACATTTCGTTTAGGAATGAGTTGAGAGAATTTGTTCAAAGATCAAGGCATTTTCTCTTTGGTAATCATTTTGTTGATTCTCATAACCGTATCTCTTGACAATGGACGGATATTGTCAGGAGAAAATTGATGTTGGTCACTATTAAGACTTAAAGGGTTAATTATCAGTCGATTTGTGCTTGCCTTTTTTTTTAGAAAGAGCTTATTCGAGAAGTTGAGATGGGTCCGTTCAAGCACACTGTAGACGACGGTTTGGACATCAGAAAGGTGGGGCTTGTTTGGTTGGTTGATACCCGTACGAAGTTCGCTCACCAGTGAAAGAAATTTACATCGTGTTCTTTTCTTTTAATCAGGCTGCATTCGAATGCATGTACACGCTTTTGGACACGTGCCTGGACCGCTTAGACATCTTCGAATTCTTGAGTCATGTGGAGGATGGGCTTAAAGATCACTATGACATCAAGGTGAGGGAAATCAGCTGACTCTATTGCCTGATACTAGACTTTGCCGTGTCCGTGTCTTTAGAATGAAGGTTTTACGAAGACACCAGTTTTTGCGCCCCTTTTTGGCAGGGCCTGTTGGGAAGGGCACCGCCTCCAATCCTCGTCAAGATCCAGACTTTCGTTAGCCTGCAAGCCCCGGTCTTTTTTTTTACAGGCCGCGCGAGAAGACTCGAGATTTCTTCCTTCGCCCTAAAAAACCGGCACCTGCTACGCAGGCTAGACTTTCGTTGGCTGCCTTTCTTTTTGTCGTCACGTAATGCACCTCCCCTCAGCGTTGCGTGACGGCACAAATATCGGTTGTGTAGCAGACTAGACTTTCGTACATTAGCCTTTCTAAACACACTTGGTCTTGTCATTGCTTGAGTCATTCTAATTTATTTTCACAAGGATGTTGCTGTTTTAGATTAATTTTCTGCTGAAACCATTACCGAGTGTCCTCATCCAAACAAAAAATTATAAAGAAGATATCAAACAAGTTTGGAATTAATCACCCAAAGTGTAGAGACTCGATCGCAGGTTTGATAAATGGTGAATCGAGTTGCGAAGGAAGTTAACAAGCAGCAGTCTTTCTACTCTGTTGGTAGTCTGTTCCATAGTCTTGCCGCACTAAACATAAACAAGCGCCGTCCGTATGACGGTTTACTCTAGGTAAAGTCAGATTCCGAGTTCAGTTTTGCGCTTGCGAAGCCGCTATCTTCCTTTGTCAGCGCTCTCCAAACTAGGTTAACCCTTCCGCGTTTACCCCGCTGGTAGTCAGTTCCCTGTACTCCAAGGTCCCCTCATTGTACCACCTTAATTAATTTTCTTCCTTGGTTGTGTTTTTCTGTAGATGTTGACCTTCCTTATGCTCGTTAGACTCTCCTCCTTGTGCCCTAATGCCATACTTCAGCGTAAGTATTAACTTAAATAACGATGAAACATGATCGACGGTACCTTCTGCTGTATCCTCATGGAGCGTATAAGGGTGTGGGGTGAGAAGAAAGTGCTCAATCTATTAACTTTATTGAAGAGTCACCTCTATTCAGGGGAAAGGGACACTTTTTCTGAGTCCTGAAACCTGGGTTTAACCTGCAATCGGGGGGAGGGGGGACACTTAGGCAGTCAAAGGGTGACTCACCACAAAGAGGGTTCATATCTTAGAGTGTACTCTAATCTAGGGGAGCAAGGGATGGCGCAGTGGTGAGAGCGCTCGCCTCCCACCAATGTGGCCCGGGTTCGAATCCTCGCGTCGACGCCATAAATGGGTTGAGTTTGTTGTTGGTTCTCTCCCTTGCTCCGAGACCTTTTTCTTCGGGTACTCCGGTTTACCCCTCTCCTTAAAAACCAACACTTCTAAATTCCAATTCGATCTGGAACGCACGGACACGTTTCAACGAGTTCATATGAACTCCTTAGTGCTCCGTGGGTAAACAAATTACAATACAGTTTTACAATTATAGAAGCTTTTACAAATTGAACTTACTCACTTAAATCGATTAAATGTACTTGTGTGAATTCAACATATAATGTCGTAGAGATAAGATGATGATTTGTTTATGTTGTCCTTGTTGGTTAGTTATCAGTGCAAGATCCAGACCTTGAGATAAGGTGGGGGGGGGGAGCGGTCATCCAGACCCTTAGATAAGGGGGGAGGCGGTCATCCAGACCCTTAGATAAGGGGGGGCCCGGTCTCCAAAAAACATTTTTTCGGCCCTTTGGACCTCAGTTTGGTCTAAAAATAAGGGGCTGGACCCGCCACTGGTTATTAACAGACCCCATCCCAACTACCATTCAAGGGACACTTGCCTTTGTCCCGAGGGTGTCCCCTAAATATAGGTTCCACTTTTCATTAACGTTCGTTTTTATCTGCAGGAGTGGATATTCTTGTGGAACCTTTACGCGCCACGTTACAAACGAAGGTAAAAGCGAACTCCGTGAAACAAGAATTTGAAAAACAAGACGAGCTCAAAAGGTCTGCGCTCAGAGCTGTGGCTGCTCTGTTGTCCATTCCCGACAGTGGTAAGTGCTCACATAATGACATCTGTATTGTTCTTAAAAGGACAAGGATAGCCTGCAAGCAAGCTCTCCATTTGCGAGAGGCACGCAAGCCCCTCGCGGCTTCGCCGCTTGCTCGCTTGTTCTCGCGCGGCTTTCTTCGCTCGCCCAAATAGGAGAGTTTGCTTGCAGGCTAGGACAAGGAAGACTACGAAAACGAGATTTTCTCAATACTAGGACGGTAGTGCACGCCCGTGCACTTGCGTCATTTTGGCGGGAAAACCTGGTAGCCGTCGTCATTCTACTCTGAGTTTTAGTAGGAATGCCTCAGTGGCGGAACCAAGTTATCAAGTGTTAAAAGTTTGATCATTTTGCTTAACTTTCTCCAATAACGACAAAAGTGCTGACTTTTCGGGAGGAAAAAGAGACCATTAAGTTCTCCGCAGTGACTTTTTTTTTTAGATACGGGAAATAATCTCGTATACCTAGTCATTCTCGTCCTCGAATCTAAAGCTCTCTAAAGTTACACCAGATGAATCGGTTGTTTTTTGTTTTTTGTTTTTTTTTTTGCCTGTGGGCAATGCACAGATCTTGTCACCCAGACTGAGCAAAACAAAACCAGAAACACGTAACACTTTAAATCAAACAAACAAAAATAACTTTCAATATTTATTTTACAGATTTGTGATAGGGTTTCTGTTTGTCTTTTCTTTTGCCTACTGCCAGTTTTCAATGGTTGTTCCGGGGATGTTCCGGGGGCGTTCCGGGTGTATTCCGAGGGAAAGGTTCCGGAATTTTATTGGGTGAACAGGGTGTAATCCTATGTTCCTATGTTCCGAGGATTTTAGCACATGCCGAGCTAGACAGTACAACACATTCCTCTTAACACAGAGGCCAAAACTGCCGAAGAGCACGCGTTCTGTTTTACATTTTAAGCGCCAGCTCAAACAAAGTGACAGCTATGCTATTTTTAACTGATTTGGAGTCTACTTTTGTTTTAGATAAAAGCCCTTTGCTCAGTGAATTCTTAGCACAGATCAAAACGAGTGCCGAGTTGGTTTCCATGTTTGATTCCATTCAGAGAGATGCAGGCTCTGCCGATTCCATGGATACCAGCTGAAAAGCTTTAAAGAGTATTTTGTTATAAACCAAAAAAGGGGGGGAGGTTTCTCCCTAGGAGAAATCGCTAAACAAGAAAACAGATAATTGTTCTGTTGTGTTTATTAAAAAAGAAAGGTCTTTCTGGTTACCTTGCCATTGCCGAAGTGAAAAATTGGAGAAAAAAGCAGATTCTGCTCGCGAAGTATTGAAAACAAAATAAATTCACATTAAGCAACTGGATAGAAGAAGGATAGAACCGCCTCAAAGTACAATAAACAGTACCAAAGTAATTTTGTGGGTTTGTTTATGTGGTCAAGTTGAAGAATTCTGTCCTTTTTTATGCACTGTTTGTTTATTGTTTTCGATTTCGTTTTGTTGCTCGTGGTGACTCTAGCGACGTTATTAAAAACGTCCTTCAAACAATAACGATATCCCGCTCTTGGAATCTCTAAATAATAGCGATATCCCGCAGTTGATATCTTCAAATGATAGTGATATCTCGCGCTCAATAACTCCAAGTAATAGCGATGTGCCGCACGTTATTTCTCCAAATGATAGCTATATCCTGCACTTGAAAACTCGAAACAATAGCGATGTCCCGATTTTGACGAGGGGGAAACCGGAGTACCCGGAGAAAAACCTCTCAGAGCAAGGAAGAGAACCAACAACAATCTTCAACCCACATATGGCGTCTGATTAAACCCCGGGGCCACATTGGAGGGAGGCGAGTGCCCTCACCATTGCGCCACCCTTCTCCCCCAAGGGAACAAAGCGATAAGAGGCGTACCCTACCCCACCCTACTCCACACCCCTTTTAGTTTTCACCGGGGTCAATATGCTACTTTGATTGCCCTAATTCACTCTTTGTCGTGTCCAGTCTTTGTGACACCAGTGAGTTGGTTTTCAATTAATTCCCATTTTCTTCGTGATAAAGTTAAAGCAAAATTATTGGTATATAGGACTATATACTTTTTCGTTGTTTTTTGTTTCGTTTCTGTTTGTTTGTTTTTGTCTGTTTGTTTGTTTTTATTTTGCTCGCCATTTAATAGAAGTGAAGGAGTAAAACATTGCAAAGATATATTGATCTTTTTGTGGGGTCTTGTCAAAAGTAGGATTGCTATGATTTTTTTATTTCATTTTCAAAGGCTTATCACACTTAATCCCCACAATGTAAATAAAACCCCTGATAATAAATTCAAACACTTACATCTGATCAAAAAAAACAAGAAGCATTTAACCTAGAGATAAACGTCCAGAAATTGAGCTGCAATACAAATACATAAGCGCGCCTTCTGAGTTGTTGTATAGTTAAACTTTTTAAAGTGATTACATAGACGTGTTGGAGTCTAACCCACTTGAGTTGCTTTTAAAAATTAAGGGCTTGGAACACCCTGCTGGGTGCCAGAGTCTTTTCATGAGCAGGTTTTGATTTTGGTCACTTTAAAAAGTGACCCGCTCGTGGCTTCGGCCCTCGGCCGAAGAAGTGTAATCGACCTGTAGCCGATCCCGAAACATCTCCGCACTCAAGCGCCGCACGCGAGAAAAAAAACTGTTGTAACCTGGGTAGAAATACCCCCTTCTAAGGGCTTTTTTAAAACTATTGGATTTTATTGTTAAGATATGCGATTAAATATCATGCAAGTGCAGACAACTTCAATGCTTGTATACAGCTGTTTCGAGAAAGGTCATCGGAAAAAAAAGTGCACGCGACAATCCCGAAAGGTAATATGGGATATGATCAATACACTTTTTTTTTTTTGACACTGTAGCTGTCGAACCTACTTTTGTTGCTTTTCTTTAGCACTCGCACACATACGTCCGTGGTCTCTCGTGCATGATTCAAATTTCTTTGAAAAACAGTGAACTCAAAACCGCCCACACAACCTTTCGGGATTGTCACATGCACTTTTCCCGACAACCTTTCTCGAAATAGCTGTAAACACAAACCGATCAACTAGTGTTACTCGTGCGAACAATCAGTCACTGGAGCGTCATTACAGAACACAGGCCCACTCTCCTATTCAAAGTCGAAACGCTGATCTGGGAGTAATTGTCTGTAAGAACTACGAATTTCAGTTGCATCCAAGTCGGTTGGCTTCGTCTTTATTACACACGGAACGCAATTTAAATCGGCTTCATTACATCTGCAAAGCAAAGAAAGAATCGTATCAAGAAATGGTCTATTATACCGGGTCCAATTCACCAAAACAATAGCCTTTTGTCTTAGCTGTTGCTGCCGAAAACAGACCGAAGAATGTATGTATAATCATTTAATCTTCGGCGTGACAAATTTTTAATATTAGGGGAGACGAGAGAGGTTTTCTGCTTTGACGCGATGCTATTTTACAAGTGAGATTTATTGTGGCACACAACGCAGGAGTGTATATTTTGCGGGTCGAGCGGGAAAGCCGTTTCACTTTTGATCGGACTGCGCTTTTATACTGTGTGCTGGGAACAAAAACAATATGATTTCAGAAATACTTTACAGAGAACGTTCTTAAACCTTTATTAGTCCATACCTTTTTTTACTTTAGTGCGCACAAAATCAGGGCAGTTGATAGCCAATCAGATTTGAGAATTTTGAAATAGTTATGATTAGTAAGCAAAACAATAACTGTGCGCGCGCATCCGTCACCCTATTCTGTTAATTTCGTTGCGGTCCCTGCAAAACTACGCTGTAAAATGGTTCTTGGAAATAGAAAGGCGTGCAATTTTGCACCTGCAGGAAGCACACTTTTTGGTACATTTTATTACTTTGGCTCCTCGAGCACGGCGTGAAGTTTTCTTTTTAATATGCGTGTTTTATGGAGGACGTTAAGACATAGTGACTATTTTTTTTCCTTTCTAAACTTTGAGTGCAGTCCCCAAGAATTTAACTCCAAGGAAATTCACCTGCATTAGACATAATTACCATTTTTTTACAGAAAAGATACCCCTTCGTACTATATACATTTTTTTGACAAATAGTATCCCTTTCACATACACTTTCCATCATTTCAAACGGCTCTAAATGCACTCACTTTAAACTATGAATAAGTCACAAAACCAGAACCTTTTCCCGACTTTTTCACAGCCATAAAATGCTTCTGTAGGCCCTACTTACTTCTACTGGTAAAAACCGTACCCTTTCGACCCATGAAATGGAAATCCGGATTCCGGAATACGGGAAAATTTTGCTTATGGAATCCGGACTACACAGCTCAAGGAATCCGGAATCCCACTAACGATTGGAATCCTAGAATCCAAGTTCTGCTGACAAAGACTGGAATCCAGTTCCTGGAATCTAGAATCCAAGATTGTCCTGGAATCCTTTATTCGGGGCGATACAACAAACATCCGAACTCCAAAATCGTTAGCACTTTTAAGGTTTTATCTCCAGATAGCAAAAGATCTCTTAAAAATAAATTTCTTTGCAAGCTTTCAAAGTGATAGCGTTTTCCGTTTTGAAAATATCGTTCTTTCTAATTTCCCAAGTTCACTCCGCGTGACGTTAATATGGCGACCGAAAAGGCCGTCACATATGCTAAAAAATCATTTTATTGCATAATGTTATGCCCTTTCTATGATGAAAGTATTAGAGATGTGTTTAGGGGAATAATTTGCTCGTTCGCAGTGAACGACAATAATATATCTTAAATGAACATTGTTCAAATGTTGGCAACATCTTAGCGAGCAAATTACCACCGGCGGAGCGCCCTTTCACAGAGTACCTAAGAAAGTCCAGTTCGCCAGAACTTTCGTTTTTCTTCAAACCTGTAACTCCATCTAAAATTCAAATTCAAATATTATCTATACCGAACAGCAAATCGCATGGCTTATACTTCTGTCCTTCTCAACTTCTTAAATACTGAAGCGAGGTCATATCTCCAGTTCTTTCAGACATTCTCAATACATTTGTCACTCTTGGGACCTACCCCCTAAAACTTAAAATGTCAAAAATTATACCTATCTTCAAAGCTGACGACGAGACCGACACTTCTAATTACAGGCCAATTTTATTATTATCAAACTTCAATAGGATCTTCGAAGAAATTATGTTCGATAGAATGAGAGACTTAATTGAAAAGCACAGCCTATTATATTGGTCTCAATATGGTTTTCGTCAAGCTCACTCAACCCAACATGCTATTCTTGATATGGTAGAAACTATCCAAATCAATATGGGCAAAAAACTCTTTTCATCTGGAGTTTTTATTGACTTAAAAAAAGCCTTTGACACTGTGAATCAATATATTACTTGATAAACTTAATTATTTTGGCTTTCGTGGAATTGTCAATCAATGGCTGTATTCTTGTTTATCAAATCGCGCACAAACTACTGAAATTGGCTCTCATATATCTAGTAAACTAAATATCAATTGCGGCGTACCCCAAGGATCTCTTCTTGCTTTATATAAAATATATAATATATTAAATGACAATTTTTCCTTTTTGCTGACGACACTAACGCTCCTTATGCTCTTAAAGATTTAAAGACACTGGAACTTGCAGTAAATGCAGAATTACACAACTTGTATAACTGGCTGACTTTAAGTAAGCTTTCTCTGAATGTTATAAAAAGTCAAACTATGTAATTTTTCGTCCATACCAAAAAAAAACTCAACTATGATCCCCAGATTAGTGCTTTTGACAATGAAAACAGTAAAAAGGTAAAACATCTTGAGACTGTTAATCGATGAAAGTCTATCATGGAAAGCTATAGAAGACCCATATTCACTCTGTTGCAAACAAAATAAGTAAAACAATTGGGTTAATTGCGAGATTGAGACATATTGTTCCCACTTGCACCCTCGTATCAGTCACTTATTACACCTTATCTAACTTACGGTCTTATCTCTTGGGGCAACGCGTGTAAAACTGTCCGTGACCAAATTCTTGTCCTTCAAAAACGCGCACTGCGCTTAATATATTTTGCTGATACAAACGACCAAGCAATACCATTTCTTGTCAATGCAAAAACTTTACCTATCTTTACGGGCTGTATATTTTGAATCTGTTTTTAGTCTTATGATGTAAGTAAAAACACTGCTCCGGATAACATCTTGAAACTCTTCTCTAGAATTTCTAGTGTTCATACTTACAATACACGTGTCGACACGTGCCTCAACCTCTGAACATTTTTATGCTAAAGAATCTCGACGTGTTGAGGTCAAAATTTAGAATGGGATACCTCAAATTCTTAAAGAAAGACCGAGAAATATACTTATATAACGTCTAATTTCTTTGTATTTATCTAGTTTGTAGTAAATTATGTAGCCTGACCTGCGTCGAACCCGGGGCCTCGAATAGCCTCGCTAACTGCAGGCCAATCCCAATGTTTTTTTGCAATATATTTCCAAATTTAAATAAAGTTGAAACTAGTTGTACAGTTTAAGCAAACTTACCTAAAACCACGTCGACAACATATCCCGTCCATTCTGCCAGTACAACAAACAGCTTGTGGGTGACGGCAGCAGTCGTATCTTCCTTCACCTGCATGATAACAGCATGTCTGACCGTCGTGGCAACGTCTTCGATCAGGGCAACGAATATAACCAGCGTTGCTGCCTTTCGGGGAAAAAAAAGAAAGTTCATTGTGAGATGAAGTGCACAAATGCCAGTACAGAACTTGGTTGAGATTAACTACATCTCACCTTCCATTCTTGAAGCCAGTGTTGAGACCCGCCCTCCCAAGCTACACCACTGCTTTACTCCAATTCACTTCCCCCCCCCCCTCCCCTACCATCCCTGACATTTTTAGGCCTCCCCGGCGAGGTTCTGCGATGCAGGTATTTCTAGTTGAGGACAGTATCGCGGACAGCCAAGATACCGAGTTTCTCAGAAAGGCACAAAAGTGCAGCGTGACGGGTTTCCTTTGTAGAGGCGTTTGCCCTCCTGATGATACACCACTTGATGTCATATGTCATGTCGTTGTCCTTTAGTTCCCAGACGTATTTTGAAAGTACTGTGTCACGTGCCGGGTCACGTGAGTGGTCTCGGTTCCTAAAAGAGAGTTTGTGGTTGTTGAATCTTGTTTTGAAGTCATTTTCCGTCATGCCGATGTAGTTACTTGTAGTTTTGGATGCTGTCGTGACTGTGGCTTCGTAGATGACGTTATGTGTGAGACATTTTCCATCATTTATCTTTTTTAGTAATCGACTACAGTACTTATTTCAAAGACGTAATCCAATACTGGTGTTGCCAATTCAGTCCGGTGCCTGCTAAAAAGCGGTTTTAACAATACAAATTAGCCAAATACAATTTGTAGTGTCCGTGTCCGCTTAATAGAGGTGTCTGCTGCATAGGGATTCGTTATAAAGGGAAATAAAAGACGTAAGTGTCCATATTAGAGAGGTGTTCGTATAAAACAGGTCACTACGAGGACGTCACTTTTATGACCACACTTACAGTTTTAAGTGTTTAGTAGCTAAAACCAGGATAACACTCGTCTTTAAACTACATTTAAAGTTATCAATTCACAATAAAAAGACATTGTCTTTCAGTACAGCTAGTAGCATACAACATTGTACATATCAGGTACCAAGAAAGTACAGACGTAGACAAGTCACTGTTTTCAAAGGAAACGATCTACAAACGCAATGATGAATGTAAAAAGTTGTAACGTAAAGCACAATTCTGAAAGCGTCTTTCGCTATTTTGCAAGTGCAGTAAACAGTAACTACAGCACAAAATGTAAGAGAAAAGATCTTTATGCTATCTGTAGTTATTCGAGCCTTAAAAAAGTCGGCTATGTTCCTTGTTTAATATACAGCTACTGGGCTTTTGAAATCACTTTGCATAGCTCATCAGCCAGACCGGATTCACCCTGTGCAGATTCACCTGATCAGGATTCGGGATTCACCTGATCACAGCAGTGTCCGCAACAAAGAGGTGAGGTTTATATGAATTTTACACTCTGGGGCCGAGATTTAGTGTCCGTTGTCCGTATTAGAGAGAGTCTGTATTATGGAGGGGTTTTTTTAAACAAAATATATGAGAATTTTGTCGGGACATTGGAAAATGTCCGTAATGGAGAAGTGACCGTATTAGAGAGGTGTCCGTACGGAGAGGTTCGATTGTAGTCTTGATAATTGGCGTTTTGATGACGCCGAAAGGTACGTGGACTTTCGTAATCACTTGCATGGTTTGGTCAAGTTCTTAAAAACCTCACCCCCTTAACTGTCTTCAAAACTTTGGCCTATTTCTCGGCACAGTTTTTTAGAATATGAACAGATTTTTTTTTCCTTTCAGGCACTCTTAAAAAGTACATGACATCCATCGAGCAATATTTTTTTGCGCATTCGCCTTGCAGCCAGGTTGAAACCCCGATAAAAAAGGGATTGCTTGAACTTGAAAAGAAATGAAAAAATGAAAGAATTTGGCCAGGGTGTTATCTACGACTGGCGAAAACCCGATCACGCTTTGTTCTTTCTTTGCTAGAAAAATTTGATATTTTTTTTGAGTTAATTCCAAGTATATCAAAATGTGGTTGACAAGACCTCAGGTTGTTCGAAGGCCATTTACCCAGGGTTAAAGTTTAATCCGGTAGATTCTAAAGCCCATTTATCTGGTAACTTTCTCTATTACTTTTAGAACATCCAATTCCAATCACCAAATTGTAGACAAAACAAATTAAAACTGAATTTGCTTTTTAATCTTTCATACCTGATTCAAATTTCGCACTACCCATGCATGGGTTGTCTTAACCAAGCTTTAAACAACCCAGCCCAGGGTATAAATTATATCGCCGGGAAACCTCAAGTCGCTTTTCTCTTAAACTTTGCTGTTTTGTTATTTATGTCTATAAATTTTGCCCGACTAGTAGGTAGGAACGCGTGACGAACCCCTAAGAACGTCTGCGTGGGAGGCTAGGAGGAACTCGAGATGACATATCCCGCCTTTAACCTCCCAAAAATGGTTTTAAAATCAAACGATCGCTTAAATTAATTTGATTTCGCAGCAATATTTATTTACCTGCTTTATCGACATACGCACACACAAACGGCACAATCATTACCAGGATGACGGCAACTGTCTTCGCATTTGGCGCAAGCATTTTTTAAGGGATCAAACTCCTGCAGACCTGTGCGAACGTTAAAGTTAGGCGATATTAAGAGAAGAAAAATTTTGCTCGATAACACTCACAGTAAAATGTCCCTCTTACGGCTCTTTTGACCGTTATTTTGTTTCGCCGTAGTCTGCTACACCCCTATAAAAGTGACGGGGTGCTCGTCGGAAACTTTCGAGAGAACACCCATAAAAGGTACCAGAATCTTATTTTATAAATGGGCGTACCCCAAGTTCATTTCAACCCCTAAGACGTACAAATTCCACAACATCAAATGATATAACTGACACTGCAAATTTTAATAGTAATAACAACAACTTCCGAACACTTTCTTAGGTTTTAGCACCCTAAGTGGTATCAATCCACAAATTTAAACCCCTAAAAGGTACGACGAGCACCCCCGTCAACAAACAAAACAAAATGTATCCTAGCTATACGTACTTTGTGATGTTCTTGCTTTTAGTCTTTTGAGCTACAGATAGGGCAGGAACACCAAGCTGATGAAGAAGAGATAATGCTTATGCCTCGAGCTCCTTATATTTACGTATGTTGTATGAAACCAGTACATGACACAAATAGTGAGCCTGGGTCCTGTGATAACACTCGAGGGTGGAATGTGATGTGTAAAGTGCAACGATCATAGACGGCGGGGTTTAAGTTATAACATACCCAAAAAAGGGTTGTGCCACAAGTTTGTGTATATCGTAAATGACCAAATAAACGCACAGGGCCTCTATTTAACTTAAGGGGCCCAAGAAAGAGCGTTGTAAAAGATAGATAGGAAGCGTTTAAAAGATAGGGGCGTTTACTCTCATAACTGTAACAAGCTCAACAAAACTAATATATCAAGCGAGTTTGAAAATAGCGGAATGTCCACTGTACCCACCCCATTAATTGACACATCTAGGCCGTTTAGCGATCCATTTAGCTCCTTTACAAGCCCCAACATCAATGGCAGAACCCTCGCTCAGGGTTAATATGCTGCCATCAATAGTCTATCCTCACTTTAAACTTGACGTTAAACAAGATTAAATGCGCAAACCTTGACAATCAAGTAAAAAACTGAATGAATTGAATGATTTTGCTCTTTTTGGCTAACTCTTAGTATATGTTTTGGAATAATTCTCATAGGGGGCATCTGTTAGACAGGGGGCGTTTATAAAAAAGGAACGTCTAATAACATTTTAACAGCGTAGAGAGGGCGTTTGGTATATATAAGAGGCGTTTATTTGGAAGTGGGCGCTTATTAGGTCACTTACGCTAAGCTATAAGGAAACACAATGAATGACCCAAAAAACGTTAAGTACGGGTCTCTGAGAACTTCGTTGTTCCAGAAAAAACGTTTTCCATGCCATACCTACCATACAACCAAGCGTCATACATGGTAGCAAGATGAGAAACCAGCTATTATTTGATACATGTAAGAAAAGGATTGCACGAGCGCGTCCCCTGCACTCGAGCACAATTCACCCTTTCTTATTTCAACTTGTCAGGTAGTAAAAACAACAAAGGTTAAAGGGGATTAAATTAAGTTTTTAAAGAAGAAATGTCGACTAAATTAACGTCCATTGTTCGAGGCTCGGACTTTTAATAGAAGTTAAAGAGTAAAACATTGCAAAGATATATTGCCCGGATCTTTTTGTGGTGTCTTGTCAAAAGTAGGATTACTATGATTTTTTATTTCATTTTCAAGTAATATATCAAACATGAGATGCAGTGTTTCATGTAATATATCAAACATGAGATGCAGTGTTTCATCACCAGATGAAACACCAAGAAGAGAGTTGAAAATACGACGCGCAGCGGATTATTTTTGACGAACTTCGAGGTGTTTCATCTGGTGATGAAACACTGTGTCGAATGTTTGATATTTCTTCTCAAACAAAATCATTTTTGACGGAGAAATTAAGGATGCAAATACTAAGCAGTGTTTCATCCGATTTCCAAACACTCATTAAACATTAATTTTCTCTGTATTTTCTTAATGAATTATTAATGAGTTTGAGAAATTCTTATCACACTTAATACCCACAATGTAAATAAAACCCCTGATAATAAATTCAAACGCTGATCAAAGAACAAGAAGTATTTAACCTAGAGATAAGCGTCGAAAAATTGAGCTTCACTACAAATACATAAGCACACCTTCGGAATTGATGTATAATTGAACTTTTTAAAGTGATTACTTAGACGTGTTGGATTCTAACCCACTTGAGTTGCTTTTAAAAAAGGGCTGGGAACGCCCTGCTGGGTGCCAGAGTCTTTTCCTGAACGGGTTTTGATTTTGGTCAAGTCTTTAAAGTGACCCGCTCATGGCTTCGGCCTTCGGCCGAAGAAATGTAATCGACCTGTAGCCGATCTCGAAACATCTCCGCACTCAATCGCCGCACGCGAGAAAAAAAGCTGTGGTATCCTGGGTAGAAATATCCCCTTCTAATGGCTTTTTTAAAACTATTGGATTTTATTGTAAAGATAAGTATGTGATTAAATATCATGCAAGTGCAGACAACTTGAAATTCTTGTATACATCTGTTTCGAGAAAGGTCGTCGGAAAAAAATGTGCACGCGACAATCCCGAAAGGTGATATGGGATATAATCAATATACTGTTTTTTTGGACACTGTAGCTGTCGGACCTACTTTGGTTGCTTTTCTTTAGCACTCGCACACATACTTCCATGGTCTCTCGTGCATGATTCAAATTTCTTTGAAAAACAGTGAACTCAATACCACCTACAAAACCTTTCGGGATTGTCGCATGCACTTTTCCCGACAACCTTTCTTGAAATAGCTGTAAACAAAAAGCGATCAACTAGCGTTACTCATGCGAACAATCAGTCACTGGAGCTTCATTACAAGAACACAGGCCCACTCTCTTATTCAAAGTCGAAACGCTGATCTGGGAGTAATTGTCTGTAAGAACTACGAATTTCAGTAGCATCCAAGTCGGTTGGCTTCGTCTTTGTTACACTCTGAACGCAATTCCCATCGTCTTCGTTACATCTGCAAAGCAAAGAAAGAATCGAATCATGAAATGGTCTATTGTACCGGAAGTACAAATGTTTTAGAGGTTGGTTTTGGCCAATTCTTTATTTTCTGTGCGAGACATTAGTTTGACACTTGGACTCTTGCCCCCCAGAAGACACGTGGTACGGCGTGATTCTGTGGGTGTTGAGAGTTCTAGGTCAGGGCTTAAATCAGAGTGCGCGGATATTTTTCATCAGAGCTTTCTCTGGTTGTTACGGCATACTGACGAGCCCCAAAGAGGGCAAAACAGCTGTCTGTGGCTACAATCCCGTTCTCTTTTGAGTTATTTCGGTGTCGTGTTGATGTCTTGCAGAGTTAATTTTCACGTACTACGATCAGCATTGCAGTACTCTGCTTGTAGAATTTACTATGTCTATTGTACCGGGTCCAATACACCAAAACAATAGCCTTTTGTTCTAGGTGTTGCTGCTGAAAACAGACCGAAGAGTGTATGCATAATCATTTAATCTTCGGCGTGAAAAATTTTTAATATCAGGGGAGAGGAGAGAGGTTTTTTGCTCTGACGCGATGCTATTTTACAAGTGAGATTTATTGTGGCACACAACGCAGGAGTGTATATTTTGCGGGTCGAGCGGGAAAACCGTTTCACTTTTGATCGGACTGTGCTGTGAACAAAAACAATATGATTTCAGAAATACTTTACAGAGAACGTTCTTAAACCTTTATTAGTCTATACCTTTTTTTTTACTTTAGTGCGCACAAAATCAGGGCAGTTGATACCCAATCAGATTTGAGAATTTTGTAATAATTATGATTAGTAAGCAAAACAATAACTCTGCGCGCGCATCCGTCATACTCTTCTGTCAATTTCGTTGCGGTCCCTGCGAAACTACGCTGTAAAATGGTCCTTGGAAATAGAATGGCGTCCAATTTTGCAAGGGCAGGCAGCACACTTTATGGTATATTTTATTACGACCACGACGTGAAATTTTCTTATGCGTGTTTCATGGAGGACGTTAAGACATAGCGACTACTTTTTTTTTTCCTTTCTAAACTTTGAGTGCGGTCCCCAAGAATTTAACTACGAAGAAATTCACCTGCATTTGACATGATTACCATATTTTTTACAGAAAAGATATCCCTTTCGTATTATACACATTCTTTTGACTAACAGTATCCCTTTCACATACACTTTCCATCATTTCAAACTGCTCTAAATGCACTCACTTTAAAATATGAATAAGTCACAAAACCAGAACCTTTTCCCGAGTTTTTCACAGCCATAAAATGCTTCTGTCGGCCCTACTTACTTCTACTGGTAAAAACCGTACCATTTCGACCCATGAAATGGAAATCCGGATTCCGGAATACGGGAAAATTTTGCTTATGGAATCTGGACTACAGCTCAGGGAATCCGGAATCCCACTAACGATTGGAATTCTAGAATCCAAGTTCTGCTGACAAAGACTGGAATCCAGTTCCTAGAATCTAGAATCCAAGACTGTCCTGGAATCCTTTATTCGGGGCGATACAACAAACATCCGAACTCCAAAATCGTAAGTACTTTTAAGGTTTTATCTCCAGCTAGCAAAAGATCTCTTAAAAATAAATTTCTGTGCAAGTTTTCAAGGTGCTAGCGTTTTCCGTTTTGAAAATATCGTTCTTTCTAATTTCCCAAGTTTACTCCGCGCGACGTTAATATGGCGACCGAAAAGGCCGTCACATATGCTAAAAAATAATTTTATTGCATAATGTTTATGCCCTTTGTATGATGAAAGTATTAGAAATGTGTTTAGGGGAATAATTTGCTCGTTCGCAATGAACGAAAATAACAACAATAACCTTGCTAATTATTCCTCACATATACCTAATATCTTAAATAAACATTTTCAAATGTTGGCAACATCTCAGCAAGCAAATTGCCACCGGCGGAGCGGAGCGCCCCTTCACAGAGTACCTAAGAAAGTCCAATTCGCCACAACTTTCGTTTTTCTTCAAAGCTGTAACCCCATCTGAGATTCAAATTCAAATTTTATCTATACCAAACAGCAAATCGCATGGCTTATACTTCTGTCCTTCTCAACTTCTTAAATACTGAAGCGACGCCATCTCTCCAGTTCTTTCAGACATTCTCAATACATTTGTCACTCTTGGGGCCTACCCCAAAAACTTGAAATGTCAAAAATTATACCCATCTTCAAAGCTGACGACGAGACCGACACTTCTAATTACAGGCCAATTTTATTATCATCAAACTTCAATAGGATCTTCGAAGAAATTATGTTCGATAGAATGAGAGACTCAATTGAAAAGCGCAGCCTATTATATTCGTCTCAATATGGTTTTCGTCAAGCTCACTCAACCCAACATGCTATTCTTGATATGGTAGAAACTATACAAATCAATATGGACAAAAAACTCTTTTCATCTGAAGTTTTTATTGACTTAAAAAGCGGCCTTTGACAATGTGAGTCATAATATATTACTTGAAAAACTAAATTATTATGGCTTTCGTGGAATTGTCAATCAATGGCTGTATTCTTATTTATCAAATCGCACACAAACTACTGAAATTGGCTCTCATATATCTAATAAACTAAATATCAATTGCGGCGTACCCCAAGGATCTGTCCTAGGTCCACTTCTCTTCCTGCTTTATACAAAATGTATAATATATTAAATGACAATTTTTCCTTTTTGCTGACGACACTAACGCTCCTTATGCTCATAAACATTTAAAGACACTGGAACTTACAGTAAATGCAGAATTACACAACTTGTTTAACTGGCTGACTTCAAGTAAGCTTTCTCTGAATGTCATAAAAAGTCAAACTATGTTATTTTTCGTCCATACCAAAAAAAATTCAACTGTGATTCCAAATTAATGTTTTTGACAATGAAAGCAATAAAAGGGTTACCCTTGAACGTAAAAACTTTATTAAATATCTTGGACTGTTAATCGATGAAAATCTATCATGCAAGATTCATATTCACTCTGTTGCAAACAAAATAAGTAAAACAATTGGTCTAAATGCGAGATTAAGACTAATTGTTCCCACTTCCACCCTCCTAAATATTTATCAGCCACTTATTACACCTTATCTAACTTACGGTCTTATCTCTTGGGGCAACGCGTGTAAAACTTTCCAGGACCAAATTCTTGTCCTTCAAAAACGCGCACTGCGTTTAACATATTTTGCTCATAGAAACGACCACGAAATACCTTTTTTTGTCAATGCAAAAAAAATTACCTGCCTTTACAGGCTGTATATTAAGAATATGTTTGTAGTTTTATGATGTAAATAAAAACACTGCACCGGATAACATCTTGAAACTCTTCTCTCGAATTTCTAGTGTTCATCCTTACAATACACGTGCCTCAACCTCTGAACATTTTTATACTAAAGAATCTCGATTCAATGTCAAACGAAATGTTTTCTCGAGTGTTGGGGTCAAAATTTGGAATGGGATACCTCAAATTCTTAAAGAAAGACGGAAAAAAGCTTTTAAAGGATCACTAAAAGCAACACTACTCGATATCCTTCAAACTGAAGACTCCTAGATTGATGAAGATACGATTATTGTCAAAATGAAAAAGTAATTCTCTTGTCCTTTCGTTTCATTTTAATTCTCTCCAATATTTTCCTTGTATTTAAGTAGAATAGTATTTATTTATTTACTGTAAAATATATATACTTATATAACGTCTAATTTCTTTGTATTTATTTAGTTTGTAGTAAATTATGTAGCCTGGCCTGCTTCGAATAGCCTCGCTAACTGCAGGCCAGTCCCAATGTATTTTATTTGTAATATATTTCCAAATTTCAATAATTAAAAGTTGAAAGTTGAAAGTTGTAGTTGTACAGTTTAAGCGCATGCAAACTTACCTGAAACCATGTGAACAACACCTTCCGTCCATTTTGCCCGTACAACAAACAGCTCGTGGTTTATGGCAGCAGCTGTAAAGTCTGTGACTTGCTAGATAACAGCATGTTTGACCATTTTTACAACGCCCTCCGTCCGGGCATTTAATAAAACCAACGTTGTTGCCTTTCAGTAAAAAAAAAGAGAGATTGTTGTGAGATCGATATAATGCACAAATGCCAGTACATAACTTGATCGAAAACTCATAATAGACGTTTTTGAGCGACGCAGGTCAACCGGAAATTAGGCCTTTTCCCTGCGAACAAATTTGTTTTCCTAAGTGTCTTTGCATGCCAAAAGTCCACTTCCAGTTGACGTGTAGGAGAGGGGCCTCAGCCGAGGTGGATAACACAGCCTCCGAGATCTGCATAATTCAATCTTCACATCCGACGAAAACCGAATTCAGTAATTTTCCTATACCGATACATATAAACGCAAATTATTTTACTTAGATAGTCTTGATAATGGCGTTATGATGACGGCGGAAGGTCGACTTTTTACGCTCGTATTTACCTGTATCTTTCGGTCAAGTTATTAACAACCTCACCTCCTTGACTCTCTTCAAAAGTTTGGCCAATTTCTCTTCACAGTTTTAGAATATGAACATATGTTTGATATAAATTTGATATAAATTTGATATTTTCTTCTAGAGTTCCACGTATGACAAAAGATTGCTAACAATACCTCACTCAGGTTGTTCGGAGGCCAATTGCCCGGAGTTAAAGTTCAATTGTAGATTTTTAAGTCGATTTATCGGGTAATTCTCTCCATTACTTTTAGAACATCTAATTCCAATCATCAAACTGTAGACAAAAAAAAATAAAACTGAATTTGCCTTTTAACCTTTCATATCTGATTCAAATTTTCCCAGCTTTGAACAACCCAGCCCAGGTTATAAATTTTGCAAAGCCTAGAACTCGCCATGACATATCCCCTTCAACCTTAGTCCCGAAAATGTTTTGAAAATCAAATGATCACTTAAATTAATTTGATTTCGCAGCAATATTTATTTACCTGCTTTATCGACATACGCACACACAAACGGCACAATCATTACCAGGATGACGGCAACTGTCTTCACATTTGGTGCAAGCATTTTTCTAAGGGATCAAACACTCCAGCAGACCTGTGCGAACGCAAAAGTTAGGCGATATCAAGAGAAGAAAAATTTTGCTCGCTAACACTCACAGTAAAATGTCCCTCCTACGGCTCTTTTGATCGTTATTTCCTTTCACCGTAGTCTGCTACACCCCTATAAAAGTGACGGGGGTGTTCGTTGGAAAATTTCGCGAGAATACCCATAAAAGGTACAAGAATCTTGTTTTATGGGCGTGCCCTAAATTAATTTCCACCCCTAAGCGGTACCAATTCAACAACATCAAATTACATAACTGGCGCTGCAAATTTTAATAGTAATAACAATAACTTTCGAACACTTTCTTAGGTTTTAGCACCCTAAGTGGTACCAATCCACAAATTTAAACCTCTAAAAAGTACGACGAGCACCCCCGTCAACAAACAAAACAAAATGTATCCTAGCGATACGTACTTTGTGATATTCTTGCTTTAGTCTTTTGAGCTACAGATAGGGCAGGAACACCAAACTGATAAAGGAGAGAGAATGCTTATGCCTCGAGCTCCTTATATTTACGTATGTTATATGAAACCCGTACATGACACAAATAGTGAGCCTGGGTCCTGTGATAACACTCGAGGGTGGAATGTGATGTGTAAAGTGCAACGATCATGTGGACAGAGGGCTTTAAGTTATAACATATCCAAAAAAGGGTTGTACCACAAGTTTGTTTAGATCGTAAATGACCTAATAAACGCACGGGGCCTCTATTTAACTTAAGGGGCCCAAGAAAGAGCGTTGTAAAAGATAGATAGGAAGCGTTTAAAAGAGAGAGGCCTTTATTCTCATAACTGTAACAAGCTCAACAAAACTAATATGCTTTGGACGAAAATATCAAGAGAGTTAGAAAATAGCGGAATGTCCACCGTATCCACCCCATTAATTGATACATCTAGGCCGTCTAGCGATCCATTTAGCTCCTTCACAAGTCCCAACATAGATCGATGTCAGAATCCTCGCTCAGGGTTAATGTGCTGCCATCAATAGTCTATCCTCACTTTAAACTTGACGTTAAACAAGATTAAATGCGCAAACTTTGACAATCAAGTAAAAAACTGAATGAATTGAATGATTTTGCTCTTTTTTGCTAATTCCTAGTATATTTTTTGGAGTAATTCTAATAGGGGGCATCTGTTAGACAGGGGGCGTTTATAAGAAAGGAACGTCTAATAACATTTTAACAGCGTAGAGAGGGCGTTTCGTATATAAAAGAGGCGTTTATTTGGAAGTGGGCGCTTATTAGGTCATTTACGCTAAGCTATAAGGAAACACAATGAATGACCCAAAAAACGTTAAGTACGGGTCTCTGAGAACTTCGTTGTTCCAGAAAAAACGTTTTCCATGCCATACTTACCATACAACCAAGGGTCATACATGGTAGCAAGGTGACAAACCAGCTATTATTTGATACATGTAAGAAAAGGGTCAAGGCTCACGACACGTTAGGACTTGCATTGCACGAGCGGGTCCCCTGCACTCGAGCACAATTCACCCTTTCTTATTTCAACTTGTCAGGTAGCAAAAACAACAAAGGTTAAAGGGGATTAAATTAAGTTTTTAAAGAAGAAATGTCGACTAAATTAACGTCCATTGTTCGAGGCTCGGACTTTTAATAGAAGTTAAAGAGTAAAACATTGCAAAGATATATTGCCCGGATCTTTTTGTGGTGTCTTGTCAAAAGTAGGATTACTATGATTTTTTATTTCATTTTCAAAGGCTTATCACACTTAATACCCACAATGTAAATAAAACCCCTGATAATAAATTCAAACACTGATCAAAAAACAAGCAGTATTTAACCTAGAGAGAAACGTCGAAAAATTGAGCTTCACTACAAATACATAAGCACACCTTCTGAATTGATGTATAATTGAACTTTTTAAAGTGATTACTTAGACGTGTTGGATTCTAACCCACTTGAGTTGCTTTTAAAAAAGGGCTGGGAACGCCCTGCTGGGTGCCAGAGTCTTTTCCTGAACGGGTAGCCGATCCCGAAACATCTCCGCACGCAATCGCCGCACGCGAGAAAAAAAGTGTGGTATCCTGGGTAGAAATGCCCCCTTCTAATGGCTTTTTTAAAACTATTGGATTTTATTGTAAAGATAAGTATGTGATTAAATATCATGCAAGTGCAGACAACTTAAAATTCTGTATACATCTGTTTCGAGAAAGGTCGTCGGAAAAAAATGTGCACGCGACAATCCCGAAAGATAATATGGGATATAATCAATACACTGTTTTTTTGACACTGTAGCTGTCGGACCTACTTTTGTTGCTTTTCTTTAGCACTCGCAAACATACTTCCATGGTCTCTCGTGCATGATTCAAATTTCTTTGAAAAACAGTGAACTCAAAACCGCCCACACAACCTTTCGGGATTGTCGCATGCACTTTTCCCGACAAGCTTTCTTGAAATAGCTGTAAACAAAAAGCGATCAACCAGTGTTACTCGTGCGAACAATCAGCCACTGGAGCTTCATTACAAGAACACGGGCCCACTCTCTTATTCGAAGTCGAAACGCTGATCTGGGAGTAATTGTCTGTAAGAACTGCGAATTTCAGTTGCATCCAAGTCGGTTGGCTTCTTCTTTATTACCTTCGGAACGCATTTCACTTCGGCTGCGTTACATCTACAAAGCAAAGAAAGAATCGTATCAACAAATAGGCTATTGTAGCTGGTCCAATTCACCAAAACAATAGCCTTTTGTCCTAGGTGTTGCTGCCGAAAACAGACCGAAGAATGTATGGATAATCATTTAATCTTCGGGGTGACAAATTTTTAATATTAGGGAAGAGGAGAGAGGTTTTTTGCTCTGACGCGATGCTATTTTACAAGTGAGATTTATTGTGGCACACAACACAGGAGTGTATATTTTGCGGGTCGAGCGGGAAAACAGTTTAACTTTTGATCGGACTGTGCTGTTATACCGAGTGCTGTGAACAAAATCAATATGATTTCAGAAATGCTTTACAGAGAACGTTCTTAAACCTTTATTAGTCCATACCTTTTTTTTACTTTAGTGCGCACAAACTCAGGGCAGTTGATAGCCAATCAGATTTGAGAATTTTGCAATAGTTATGATTAGTAAGCGAAACAATAACTCTGCGAGCGCATCCGTCACCCTATTCTGTTAATTTCGTTGCGGTCCCTGCAAAACTACGCTGTAAAATGGTTCTTGGAAATAGAAAGGCGTGCAATTTTGCACCTGCAGGAAGCACACTTTTTGGTACATGTTATTACTTTGGCTCCAAGAGCACGGCGTGAAATTTTCTTTTTAATATGCGTGTTTTATGGAGGACGTTAAGACATAGTGACTATTTTTTTTTCCTTTCTAAACTTTGAATGCAGTCCCCAAGAACTTAACTCCAAGGAAATTCACCTGCATTTAACATAATTACCATTTTTTTTACAGAAAAGACAAATAGTATCCCTTTCACATACACTTTCCATCATCTCAAACGGCTTTAAATGCACTCAATTTAAAATATGAATAAGTCACAAAACCAGAACGTTTTCCCGACTTTTTCACAGCCACAAAATGCTTCTGTCGGCCCTACTTACTTCTACTGGTAAAAACCGTACCATTTCGACCCATGAAATGGAAATCCGGATTCCGGAATCCGGGAAAATTTTGCTCATGGAATCTGGACTACAGCTCAAGGAATCCGGAACCCACTAACGATTGGAATTCTAGAATCCAAGTTCTGCTGACAAAGACTGGAATCCAGTTCCTGGGATCTAGAATCCAAGACTGTCCTGGAATCCTTTATTCGGGGCGATACAACAAACATCCGAACTCCAAAATCGTAAGTACTTTTAAGGTTTTATCTCCAGCTAGCAAAAGATCTCTTAAAAATGAATTTCTGCGCAAGTTTTCAAGGTGATAGCGTTTTCCGTTTTGAAAATATCGTTCTTTCTAATTTCCCAAGTTTACTCCGCGCGACGTTAACATGGCGACCGAAAAGGCCGTCACATATGCTAAAAAATAATTTTATTGCATAATGTTTATGCCCTTTGTATGATGAAAGTATTAGAAATGTGTTTAGGGGAATAATTTGCTCGTTCGCAATGAACGACAATAACAACAATAACCTTGCTAATTATTCCTCACATATACCTAATATCTTAAATAAACATTTTCAAATGTTGGCAACATCTTAGCAAGCAAATTACCACCGGCGGAGCGCCCCTTCACAGAGTACCTAAGAAAGTCCAATTCGCCACAACTTTCGTTGTTTTTTCAAGCCTGTAACTCCATCGAAAATTCAAATTCAAATATTATCTATACCAAACAGCAAATCGCATGGCTTATACTTCTGTCCTTCTCAACTTCTTAAATACTGAAGCGACGCCATCTCTCCAGTTCTTTCAGACATTCTCAATACATTTGTCACTCTTGGGACCTACCCCAAAAACTTGAAATGTCAAAAATTATACCTATCTTCAAAGCTGACGACGAGACCGACACTTCTAATTATAGGCCAATTTTATTATTATCAAACTTCAATAGGATCTTCGAAGAAATTATGTTCGATAGAATGAGAGACTTAATTGAAAAGCGCAGCCTGTTATATTCGTCTCAATATGGTTTTCGTCAAGCTCACTCAACCCAACATGCTATTCTTGATATGGTAGAAACTATACAAACCAATATGGACAAAAAACACTTTTCATGTGGAGTTTTTATTGACTTAAAAAAAGCCTTTGACGCTGTGAATCATAATATATTACTTGATAAACTAAATTATTATGGTTTCCGTGGAATTATCAATCAATGGCTGTCCTCTTACTTATCAAATCGCACACAAACTACTTTACTGGAACTTAAAGTAAATGCAGAATTACACAACTTGTATAACTGGATGACTTCAAGTAAGCTTTCTCTGAATGTTATAAAAAGTCAAACTATGTAATTTTTCGTCCATACCAAAAAAAACTCAACTATGATCCCCAGATTAATGTTTTTGACAATGAAAGCGATAAAAAGGTTACCCTTGAACGCAAAAACTTTATTAAATATCTTGGACTGTTAATCGATGAAAATCTATCATGGAAGACTCATATCCACTCTGTTGCAAACAAAATAAGTAAAACAATTGGGCTAAATGCGAGATTAAGACAAATTGTTCCCACTTCCACCCTCCTTAATATTTATCAGTCACTTATTACACCTTATCTAACTTACGGTCTTATCTCTTGGGGCAACGCGTGTAAAACTTTCCTTGACCAAACTTGTCCTTCAAAAACGCGCACTGCGTTTAACATATTTTGCTGGTAGAAACGACCACGCAATACCTTTTTTTGTCAATCAAAAAAATTACGTGCCTTTACAGGCTCTATATTAAGAATATGTTTCTAGTTTTATGATGTAAATAAAAACACTGCTCCGGATAACATCTCGAAACTCTTCTCTCGAATTTCTAGGGTTCATCCTTACAATACACGTGCCTCAACCTCTGAACATTTTTATACTAAAGAATCTCGACTCAATGTCAAACGAAATGTTTTTCGCGTGTTGGGGTCAAAATTTGGAATGGGATACCTCAAATGCTGAAAGAAAGACCGAAAAAAGCTTTTAAAGGATCACTAAAAGCAACGCTACTCGATATCCTTCAAACTGAAGACTCCTAGATTGATGAAGATACGATTATTGTCAGAATGAAAAAGTAATTCTCTTGTCCTTTCGTTTCATTTTATTTCAATTTTTAAAATTCTCTCCAATATTTTCCTTGTATTTAAGTAGAATAGTATTTATTTATTTACTGTAAAATATATATACTTATATAACGTCTAATTTCTTTGTATTTTTCTAGTTTGTAGTAAATTATGTAGCCTGGCCTGCTTCGAATAGCCTCGCTAACTGCAGGCCAGTCCCAATGTATTTTATTTGTAATATATTTCCAAATTTCAATAATTAAAAGTTGAAAGTTGAAAGTTGTAGTTTTACAGTTTAAGCGCAAGCAAACTTACCTGTAACCACGTGAACAACACATTCCGTCCAGTTTGCCCCTACAACAAACAGCTCGTGGTTTATCGCAGCAGCCGTAACTTCTGTGACTTGCTAGATAACAACATGTTTGACCATTTCCACAAAGCCCTCCGTCCGGGCATTTAATAAAACCAACGTTGTTGCCTTTCAGTAAAAAAAAGAGAGATTGTTGTGAGATCGATATAATGCACAAATGCCAGTACAGAACTTGATCGAAAACTCATAATAGACGTTTTTGAGCGACGCAGGTCAACCGGAAATTAGGCCTTTTCCCTGCGAACAAGTTTGTTTTCCTAAGTGTCTTTGCATGCCAAAAGTCCACTTCCAGTTGACGTGTAGGAGAGGGGCCTCAGCCGAGGTGGATAACACAGCCTCCGAGATCTGCATAATTCAATCTTCACATCCGACGAAAACCGAATTCAGTAATTTTCCTATACCGATACATATAAACGCAAAATATTTTACTTAGATAGTCTTGATAATGGCGTTATGATGACGGCGGAAGGTCGACTTTTAACGCTCGTATTTACTTGTATCTTTCGGTCAAGTTATTAACAACCTCACCTCCTTGACTCTCTTCAAAAGTTTGGCCAATTTCTGGTCACAGTTTTAGAATATGAACATATGTTTGTCTTTTGTTTTTTTTTTTTTTTTTTTTTTTTTTTTCAGATGCTCTTAAAAAAGTACATGATATCCATGCTTGAACTTGAAAAGAAGTGAAAAAACTGAAAGAATTTGGCCAAGGTGTTGTCTACAAATGACCAAAACCCGATCACGCTTTGTTCTTTCTTTGCAAGAAAAATTTGATATTTTTCTTCTAGAGTTCCACGTATGACAAAAGATTGCTAACAATACCTCACTCAGGTTGTTCGGAGGCCAATTGCCCGGGGTTAAAGTTTAATCTTGTAGATTTTTAAGTCGATTTATCGGGTAATTCTCTCCATTACTTTTAGAACATCTAATTCCAATCATCAAACTGTAGACAAAAAAAATTAAAACTGAATTTGCCTTTTAACCTTTCATATCTGATTCAAATTTCCCCAGCTTTGAACAACCCAGCCCAGGTTATAAACTTTGCAAAGCCTGGAACTCGCCATGACATATCCCCTTTAACCTTAGTCCCAAAAATGTTTTGAAAATGATCGCTTAAATTAATTTGCTTTCGCAGCAATATTTATTTACCTGCTTTATCGACATACGCACACACAAACGGCACAATCATTACCAGGATGACGGCAACTCTCTTCACATTTGGTGCAAGCATTTTTCTAAGGGATCAAACACTCCTGCAGACCTGTGCAAACGTAAAAGTTAGGCGATATCAAGAGAAGAAAAATTTTGCTCGATAACACTCACAGTAAAATGTCCCTCCTACGGCTCTTTTGATCGTTATTTCCTTTCACCGTAGTCTGCTACACCCCTATAAAAGTGACGGGGGTGTTCGTTGGAAAATTTCGCGACAACACCCATAAAAGGTACAAGAATCTTGTTTTATGGGCGTGCCCTAAATTAATTTCCACCCCTAAGCGGTACCAATTCAACAACATCAAATTACATAACTGGCGCTGCAAATTTTAATAGCAATAACAATAACTTTCGAACACTTTCTTAGGTTTTAGCACCCTAAGTGGTACCAATCCACAAATTTAAACCTCTAAAAGGTACGACGAGCACCCCCGTCAACAAACAAAACAAAATGTATCCTAGCGATACGTACTTCGTGATATTCTTGCTTTTAGTCTTTTGAGCTACAGATAGGGCAGGAACACCAGACTGATGAAGGAGAGAGAATGCTTATGCCTCGAGTTCCTTATATTTACGTATGTTATATGAAACCCGTACATGACACAAATAGTGAGCCTGGGTCCTGTGATAACAGTCGAGGGTGGAATGTGATGTGTAAAGTGCAATGATCATGTGGACGGAGGGATTTAAGTTATAACATGCCCGAAAAAGGGTTGTGCCACAAGTTTGTTTATATCGTACATGACCTAATAAACGCACGGGGCCTCTATTTAACTTAAGGGGCCCAAGAAAGAGCGTTATAAAAAATAGATAGGAAACGTTTAAAAGAGACAGGCCTTTATTCCCATAACTGCAACAAGCTCAACAAAACTAATATATCAAGCGAGTTTGAAAATAGCGGAATGTCCACTGTACCCACCCCAGCAATTGACACATCTAGGCCGTTTAGCGATCCATTTAGCTCCTTCACAAGTCCCAACATAGATCGATGTCAGAATCCTCGCTCAGGGTTAATGTGCTGCCATCAATAGTCTATCCTCACTTTAAACTTGACGTTAAACAAGATTAAATGCGCAAACCTTGACAATCAAGTAAAAAACTGAATGAACTGAATGATTTTGCTCTTTTTTGCTAATTCCTAGTATATTTTTTGGAATAATTAATAATAATAATATTTAATACTTATATTGCGCTTTTTCTATAAAAATACTCAAAAGCGCATTGCAATATTATTAATAACTAAATTAAAAACCATTAAAATTACCCGGTAAAGTTACAATATTTAAAAAAAAATAAATAAATAAATAATCTAACTAAACGCCTTTTTAAATAAATGTTTTAACAGAGCGTTTAAAAGAGTCGATTGATGTTTCCTGTCTTATTGGCAGAGGAAGACTGTTCCATAAAAAGGGGGCAGCCATCGATAACGCTCGATCTCCCAAAGTCTTCTTCGTTCTTAGCTGAGGTCTTTCTAATAATATACCATTATTCTTACGGCGTAGTTGGTAACGTGAGTCCGGTAAGACAGAGACAAGATCCTTAAGATACCTAGGCGCAACACCGTGAAGAATCTTAAATGTACTTGAAGGAGAATCTTAAAATCTACGCGCAAGCGCACTGGTAGCCAGTGGAGTTCTCTTAGCAAAGGAGTAACGTGACAATACTTAGGTGCGCAGTAAACCAATCGAGCACTGGCATTCATGACTCTTTGAAGTTTCTTAATTTGATACTCAGGAGCACCGTACAATAAACCATTACAGTAGTCAAGCCTGCTTGTGATGAACGCGTGAACCTCTCGGTGGACTCACGAGACAAATACTTCCTAATGTGCCGGATATTGTGCAAATAATAAAACGCGCTAGCACAAGTCTTAGTCACATGAGTCGACATGTCCAGATGAGAATCGAACCAGGTGCCCAAATTGCGCACTGAAGAGGCAGGCGATACCTCACCTTGGTCGACCTTGATCTTGTCAACGGACACCTTTGATAACTGTCGTTCTCATAGGAGGCATCTGTTAGACAGGGGGCGTTTATAAGAAAGGAACGTCTAATAACATTTTAACAGCGTAGAGAGGGCGTTTGGTATACATAAGAGGCGTTTATTTGGAAGTGGGCGCTTATTAGGTCACTTATGCTAAGCTATAAGGAAACACAATGAATGACCAAAAAAACGTCAAGTACGGGTCTCTGAGAACTTCGTTGTTTCAGAAATAAGGTTTTCCATGCCATACTTACCATACAACCAAGGGTCATACATGGTAGCAAGATGACAAACCAGCTATTATTTGATACATGTAAGAAAAGGATCAAAGCTCACGACACGTTAGGACTTGCATTGCACGAGCGCGTCCCCTGCACTCGAGCACAATTCACCCTTTCTTATTTCAACTTGTAAGGTAGTAAAAACAACAAAGGTTAAATGGGATTAAATTAAGTTTTTAAAGAAGAAATGTCGACTAAATTAACGTCCATTGTTCGAGGCTCGGACTTTTAATAGAAGTTAAAGAGTAAAACATTGCAAAGATATATTGCCCAGATCTTTTTGTGGTGTCTTGTCAAAAGTAGGATTACTATGATTTTTTATTTCATTTTCAAAGGCTTATCACACTTAATACCCACAATGTAAATAAAACCCCTGATAATAAATTCAAACACTGATCAAAAAACAAGCAGTATTTAACTTAGAGAAAAACGTCGAAAAATTGAGCTTCACTACAAATACATAAGCACACCTTCTGAATTGATGTATAATTGAACTTTTTAAAGTGATTACTTAGACGTGTTGGATTCTAACCCACTTGAGTTGCTTTTAAAAAAGGGCTGGGAACGCCCCGCTGGGTGCCAGAGTCTCTTCATGAACGGGTTTTGATTTTGGTCAAGTCTTTAAAGTGACCCGCCCGTGGCTTCGGCCTTCGGCCGAAGAAGTGTAATCGACCTGTAGCCGATCCCGAAACATCTCCATACTCAATCACCGCACGCGAGAAAAAAACTAAGGTATCCTGGGTACAAATACCCCCTTCTAATGGCTTTTTTAAAACTATTGGATTTTATTGTAAAGATAAGTATGTGATTAAATATCATGCAAGTGCAGACAACTTGAAATTCTTGTATACATCTGTTTCGAGAAAGGTCGTCGGAAACAAATGTGCACGCGACAATCCCGAAAGGTAATATGGGATATAATCAATGCACTGTTTTTTTGACACTGTAGCTGTCGGACCTTCTTTTGTTGCTTTTCTTTAGCACTCGCAAACATACTTCCATGGTCTCTCGTGCATGATTCAAATTTCTTTGAAAAACAGTGAACTCAAAACCACCCACAAAACCTTTCGGGATTGTCGCATGCACTTAATTTTCCCGACAAGCTTTCTTGAAATAGCTGTAAACAAAAAGCGATCAACCAGTGTTACTCGTGCGAACAATCAGCCACTGGAGCTTCATTACAAGAACACGGGCCCACTCGCTTATTCGAAGTCGAAACGCTGATCTGGGAGTAATTCTCTGTAAGAACTACGAATTTTAGTTGCATCCAAGTCGGTTGGCTTCTTCTTTATTATACTACAATCTAAAGCGGCTTCGTTACATCTACAAAGCAAAGAAAGAATCGTATCAACAAATGGGCTATTGTAGCGGGTCCAATTCACCAAAACAATAGCCTTTTGTCCTAGGTGTTGCTGCCAAAAACAGACCGAAGAATGTATGCATAATCATTTAATCTTCGGCGTGACAAATTTTTAATGTTAGGGGAGAGGAGAGAGGTTTTTTGCTCTGACGCGATGCTATTTTACAAGTGAGATTTATTGTGGCACACAACGCAGGAGTGTATATTTTGCGGGTCGAGCGGGAAAACAGTTTCACTTTGATCGGACTGTGCTGTTATACTGAGTGCTGTGAACAAAAACAATATGATTTCAGAAATGCTTTGCAGAGAACGTTCTTAAACCGTTATTAGTCCCTACCTTTTTTTACTTTAGTGCGCACAAAATCAGGGCAGTTGATAGCCAATCAGATTTGAGAATTTTGCAATAGTTATGATTAGTAAGCGGAGCAATAACTCTGCGAGCGCATCCGTCACCCTATTCTGTTAATTTCGTTGCGGTCCCTGCAAAACTACGCTGTAAAATGGTTCTTGGAAATAGAAAGGCGTGCAATTTTGCACCTGCAGGAAGCACACTTTTTGGTACATTTTATTACTTTGGCTCCAAGAGCACGGCGTGAAATTTTCTTTTTAATATGCGTGTTTCATGGAGGACGTTAAGACATAGTAAATTCACCTGCATTTAACATACAAATAGTGTCCCTTTCACATACACTTTCCATCATCTCAAACGGCTTTAAATGCACTCACTTTAAAATATGAATAAGTCACAAAACCAGAACGTTTTCCCGACTTTTTCACAGCCATAAAATGCTTCTGTCGGCCCTACTTACTTCTACTGGTAAAAACCGTACCATTTCGACCCATGAAATGGAAATCCGGATTCCGGAATACGGGAAAATTTTGCTTATGGAATCCGGACTACAGCTCAAGGAATCCGGAATCCCACTAACGATTTGAATCCTAGAATCCAAGTTCTGCGAGCAAAGACTGGAATCCAGTACCTGGAATCTAGCATCGAAGACTGTCCTGGAATCCTTTACACGGGCCGATACCTACGTCATATTTTTGGTTTTCAAGTGACATCAGCAAACACCCGAACTTCAAAATCGCAAGGACTGTTAAGGTTTTATCTCCAGCTAGCAAAAGATCTCTTAAAAATAAATTTCTTTGCAAGTTTTCGACGTGATAGCGTTTTCCGTTTTGAAAATATAGCTCTTTCTAATTTCCAAAGTTTACTCCGGGTGACATTAATACGGCGACCGAAAAGGCCGTCACATATGCTAAAAAATAATTTTATTGCATAATGTTTATGCCCTTTGTATGATGAAAGTATTAGAAATGTGTTTAGGGGAATAATTTGCTCGCTCGCAGTGAACGACAATAACAACAATAACCTTGCTAATGATTCCTCACATATACCTAATATCTTAAATAAACATTTTTCAAATGTTGGCAACATCTCAGCAAGCAAATTACCACCGGCGGAGCGCCCCTTCAAAGAGTACCTAACAAAGTCCAATTCGCCACAACTTTCGTTTTTCTTCAAACCTGTAACTCCATCTGAGATTTAAATTCAAATTTTATCTATACCAAACAGCAAATCGCATGGCTTATACTTCTGTCCTTCTCAACTTCTTAAACACTGAAGCGACGCCATCTCTCCAGTTCTTTCAGACATTCTCAACACATTTGTCACTCTTGGGACCTACCCCAAAAACTTGAAATGTCAAAAATTATACCTATCTTCAAAGCTGACGACGAGACCGACACTTCTAATTATAGGCCAATTTTATTATTATCAAACTTCAATAGGATCTTCGAAGAAATTATGTTCGATAGAATGAGAGACTTAATTGAAAAGTACAGCCTATTATATTCGTCTCAATATGGTTTTCGTCAAGCTCACTCAACCCAACATGCTATTCTTGATATGGTAGAAACTATACAAACCAATATGGACAAAAAACTCTTTTCATGTGGAATTTTTATTGACTTAAAAAAAGCCTTTGACGCTGTGAATCATAATATATTACTTGATAAACTAAATTATTATGGTTTCCGTGGAATTATCAATCAATGGCTGTCCTCTTACTTATCAAATCGCACACAAACTACTTTACTGGAACTTACAGTAAATGCAGAATTACACAACTTGTATAACTGGCTGACTTCAAGTAAGCTTTCTCTGAATGTTATAAAAAGTCAAACTATGTAATTTTTCGTCCATACCAAAAAAAATCCAACTATGATCCCCAGATTAATGTTTTTGACAATGAAAGCAATAGAAAGGTTACCCTTGAACGCAAAAACTTTATTAAATATCTTGGACTGTTTATCAATGAAAATCTATCATGGAAGACTCATATCCACTCTGTTGCAAACAAAATAAGTAAAACAATGGGGCTAAATGCGAGATTAAGACAAATTGTTCCCACTTCCACCCTCCTTAATATTTATCAGTCACTTATTACACCTTATCTAACTTACGGTCTTATCTCTTGGGGCAACGCGTGTAAAACTTTCCTTGACCAAACTTGTCCTTCAAAAACGCGCACTGC